GTTTTGTACATTTTGTGAAAGGCAAAAACATACTTAAAGATTTTGTAAAAGAATCTGGACGGATCTTATGAATCCGAGACAAGATTATTCAGTACAAAGAGTAAGAGAAAAGCTTGATAAGAAAAGACATCCATCCATTCGCCTTGAAAAATTCTATTTTAATCTTACTAAACATCATTTAGACAACCACTTCATTTTTTTCTCCAGAAAGATTTTCAGTCATAATAAATCATTCGATGTAACTCGATGAGCTGAGTACACATATCATGTGCTCTTCCGAAGAGAAAAATAGTCAATTAAAAATGAATGAGAAGGATAGCGTCTGATTCCCCGCTATGTGGAGGATCACAGCTCCAAGCAGGCTGGTGCATCGTAAAGGATTTAATTACCGGATATCGTCTGGCAGTAAAATGACCTGGATCTAGATGTACATCTATAGAATCACATATTGATGAAAAAGTTTTTCAATTAAACTTGTAAATTCAGGGAAAATAAAAGACACCTATAGAAAACACAAGCTTAAAAGATAAATTTTGTTTTTTTTCTATGTAAAAGCAATTTTCATCATAGATAAATGTGGTATCCGTCATCAGCTCATCGAATTGCATCAAATAATAGGATATATTATGACTAAAAATCTTTTTAGAGAAAAAAATGGGATAAAAGTTTTGATGAGTGTGCAGAAGAAAGTTGACTAAAAAGTAGTAGTAATAAAAATAAGACGTTCATTATTCTTTCTTTTTTTTTGTCGCTCGCATATACGTACTTTTCCTTTGAGGTAAGTAACACGAAAAGGAAGCAAAACAGGAAAAAACGAATGAAGTCTTTCAATCAGTTCTGCTAAATTTTTCTAAAATATTCTTTTTAAATTCTGAATACAGAAACAAGTGCTAATAAAACAGATATGTCCACCTGGCACGAAATTGTGAGTTTTTAAAAAATATTCTCTAAAACGAAGCGATTAGGCAGTGATTAGATAGGTTAAAATGGGCCCTGTTCAACATATTTATGCTGATGAATTTCATCTACGTGGTTGATTAATTTTGTCCGCAATTCTTGAGTAGTTGTTATTTTACAGATGATGAGTATTTCTCGTTTCATGTTCTCTACAAGAAATATACAAGATTTCCAATAGGAAATACATCCACAGAAAAAGTGGTAAAATCGTATAAAAGAGTAATTTACGCAACGAATCAATAAACAGAAAAAAAAATCAACTTTTAAGTTTGAAAGAAAAGAAATAAAATTTAATGATAATCTATGATCGTGATGAGAAAAAAGGAAGAAAGCACGATTTTTTATCAAAATAAGATGAACAATTACAGAAAGAAGAAAATTTAGTTTTAGACAACATGTCGGTCTATGTTCTTAAAGAGTCATAGATTGATTTTCGAGTAGCTTCTAAAACAATAGCAGAAGAGAATAATCTAATTACATTATACAGTAGTAACATAACAAGAGAAAAAAAAATTTAGAAACATTTGTAACACACATAATAGTAACATTTCCTATTGCACACGTTTTATTATAAATGCTGCGTTGTTACTTCTTGTTTATGTTGAATATTTAAATGATGATGAGGTATGGTTGTTTGTCGCAAAGACGAGTGTAACAACGATGACGAGTCATCAAGAGTATCATCTTGAAATAGAGCAGACGAACTGTTTTGTGAATCATCGTTTAGAAGACCGTTTGTTGCCACAAGTTGTTGCATTGGAAGATTCTGTTGAATTATATCGTTCGATGAATTTAATGTTAATGTTGAATTATTGTCTTCAGTTGGTATACCGTTGGTTGTTGATGGTTTATTCATGACAGCCGTTGTCACCAAACCACCATATTCATCGAAACGAAACGGTGTCGTATTATTACTGGCACATATCAGCTGAAAAAAAGAAAAGAACATTTACTAGGTGAAAGTTTACAATTTCTGCTGATAACTATCTAAAACGTCCAGTAAGCGGCGCACGGAGGATATTTTACAAAACTGCACATATTTCTCAAAA